ATAAGCATAGTAGCTATATATATATTTTACAAGCATATACATAACATGTGGTATGTTGAATACCATGCATCATAGTGATCATACATTCAGTACCACTATCAATGATAACATTGTGGTAATAATATCTGGAGCAATAGCTATACAATCTGCATGAAACCAATCCAAAAATTGCCATTGTTTCTTCAAAAAGAATCGTACACCAACTAAGTATTTCATTAAACTATACTGTTTCAAATAGGACAATATTGCTATTATACAGACTTATAAAAAACTAAAGAAACAAGATTACTAAAAAATTTTTAACTTAAAAAGTCAGAATAGGGATCTTCAAAATTAACAGAAACAAGATAGGGAGCTTAAAGTGATAATGCAATTGCAAAAAAGTAAACAAACAAACATAGTGCTGACATTATTTACTCAAGCTACAAATCTTTATTTGAACTCCATGTTTGAAACTGTAATATTTAAGCTTGTTTGTTTACTTTTTTTTGCAATTGCATTCTCACTTTAAGCTACTTATCTTTATTCTGAAATTTGTTGAAGTTCCCTATTCTGACTTTTTAAGCTAACAATTTGTAATAATCTTCTGTGTGTGTCTTTTTATATATATATAGTATGCATAAAATAGATCAACAAATGAACAAATGTTTTATCCATCACCTTTTAACTTTACCTATAATATGGATTCTAAAGAGACGGGTTTCAGAGCTACAGTAAAACTTGCAGTTCAGTAAACTCTCAGACATTAATTTTAGTTACATTTTTTAAAAAAATTGTAGCACTAAGTTTGCTTACACATATACAGATAGCTATCATTTTACTTAAGAAAAAAAAAGGAACTATGCGCACACACATATACACTTTGTTTTTTAAACTTACAGATCTCTGAATCACATTTTTGGTATTTTTTATTCGTTCATAGGAAAATTTTAAAGTAACTGTCTTTTGTATTTTGGAATTCAGTTTTGAAAATTAAATAACTTACTTGAATTAACCCTTTATTTTTGGATAGACCCATTGAATGTGAAAGTGGTCTAAACCATGTAATGCAAAGAAGAAAAAATATATATTTTACAAATAAAAACGGTTAATAAGAGCATATCAAAAGCTATTATTGTTTGTTAATATCCTAATTTTAAACCATTAATTTCACTAAAACATAATGACAAACTTTTTCTATCATTTTTGTACTCAGAGAGACCAACTCATGATAGTAAAGGTCTCCTTCTCTTGGCCAGTTGTTATGAAAATGTAGCCAAATAAGGCAAGTACCCTTTTAGGATCATAATCCAATAGTAAGTGAAGAAAAAGAAAGCAGAAACATGAATTAAATAATAAAACACATTTAAATATTATGATAGAACTTGCCAAGTTTACTCGACCTCTGTTGAACTGAAGCAGTTTTTTTTTTTCTAATTACCCAACTGGTTATCCTTCGCTGTTGCAAGTAGCTTTTAAAAAGTTGAATAACCATGAAAAAGAGAAAGAAAGAAAGAAAACATAAGGGACTTGTAAGTCAGTAAGTTTTCACATATATTGGAATATTAAGGTTCAGAGTGAGCATAAAATTCTGAAACTGGAGAAAAATTTCAGTTGAATTATGCATAAGCTTATGCTTAAAATACATTTTTTTTGTTCATTATTGTTATTATAAAGTTGTTAATATTACGTTTAGTTACCCAATTTTTAAAGGTTTGAAATGCTTATTTTAATTTTGGTAGTAAGTGTACAATTTGTATTCTGATAGCTTTGTAAAGAGTGGAGTTAACTTGCATGGAATTTTTTATAAGTAGTTGTACAACTCCTTAATATTTAAATGCTAAATAGTTTATATTGTGTTCAACTTCATAGTGTGTGTGTATGTTTAAGGGATGGCATACTACTTATTACTGTAAATAGACAAGTTATTTGTATTGCTTGCATAAATTGTTTACTTGAAAACTGGAATTTTTGTAGTATGTTAATCATTTTAAATTATTTATAGGATCATTACTACTTGAATCAAAAATTCACCCAGACACTGCCTATCAAAAGCAACAGGTAAGTTTTTCCTAAAAGACATTGCTGATTTCTAAAGAACAAAGAGATAAATTAATAATTATTTATTTGATATGTGCCATACTTTAAATAGAAAATATCCATTATATTTTTCAGTGACAGAGATTTTGGTTTAAAAGAGCAGAATTATAAAAAAAAAGTCAGTCAAAAGAATTGAAATGGCGTATTTGATACAAATTCTTTATAGAACTGACTGGAGAAAATTGTTATGTCAAAGACTGGCCACAAGGACTTAAAAATAAATCTCATAGAATTTTATACAAAAATCAAGTAGGGAAAGCAGTATGTTTGTAGTGTGATGTCATTAGTTATGAAAAGTGACACTATGAAGACTATATTGTGGGGTTTTATTGTACAGAGAAATGTCAGTTTTGCTTTCAGTTCAAGGTTTATTCCCTTGGGAAACACACCGATTAGCTTAGATGAACTTGTAATTGTTCTTGTTGCATAGTTAGAAAGCCAGAAAAATTGTGATAGTTATGGGACATTTTGCACATTATTACTGTGTGTTTTTTTATGCATTATATAATTAATTAAATAATTATTTAGTGCAGTACTACCATTAGCATAAAAAAGTAGGGCTAAGTGTCATCGACAGTTGACAGCACAAAAAAAAAGACGTTTGGACCAGTCAACACTGATTCCATCACGTTCATTATGAAACCTTTCATAAAGATACTTACTCAAAAATACTGATTTTTTTTTTCAAAAGTCTTGTGTTTGTTAAAAGCTTACCAAATTCCATAAAGATACTTTAAGCACTTTCAGAGTTATAGAATATATTCATTCATGATTTTTAGTGGCTACAAGGTCATGTAAAATATGAGCCCATGCCCATAGAGTCTAGGTTATGTACACAGTCAACAGCAAAAACTTTGTTGGAAGCTATATGTTTGTTTGGAGTTGGTTATTAGACATTTTTGTTTGATATTTATAATAGGAAACACTTATTGTTTGGTCAGAGGGAGAAAATTATGATCTTGCCTTAAGTTTCCAAGAGAAAGCTGGATGTGATGAAATTTGGGAGAAAATATGCCAGGTGAGAAGAGGCATACTTACAATATTGAAATATAAAATAAGAAAAAAGTAATAATTTAACTTGCTGATATTGTTTATTTTTCAAGATTTGTAACTTAGTGTTACAACAATATTGTTATGATTCACAAACTGTTGATTAACCTGTCTTAACCTTATGGCTACTTTTTTTCATCATATGTTCATTACATGATGGAAGGTTACTTTTCTTTGTTCACCTTTTTAAAAAGTTTTTTTTATTTTGAGTGATAAATTCAATAACTTTTTAGATGAATGTTACCATTTTTTTTATAAATGATTCTAAAATGTACATATGTACATCCTAAGTTATGGATACATAATTTCATTAGGTTACTCTCTTTGATAATGGAAAGATTTCTGTAATTCTATAACTATTTGAAATAGTAATAGATAATGAACATAAGGATTGGTGCTTTGGTGATTTTCAGTGTACAAATGATCTTATGTGAGAGTTTATTCAACTATATATATATATATATATATATTATACCTTTGAGGAAGATATTAAGTATAGCAGTTTCTTGAATACAAGTGTCTTAGTATAAATTAATTCTTGTTTTAACCTTGATATCTTGATAATAGATTTGAAATTTAAATCGTGCCTCTTCATGCTACAATCAAAAAAAAAAAAATTTCCAACTCATGTTTCTTGTTATTTATGATTCAAAATGTGATTCTTTATTAATACTGGAACTGAAATATATATACGTTTAACAGACTGAATATCAGCAGAAAAAATTATTATCCATGAAAGAAATATTTCTTTTTACCTTAAAGACATTACAAATTTTGTAGGTTCAAGGGAAAGATCCCTCAGTTGAGATCACACAAGATATCGTTGAAGAATCAGAAGATGAAAGGTATGAAGATGTGTCAGATACAGCACCGCCCATTGAGCTCCCTCCCTGCGATATTGGCAGATTAGAAGAAATTAGTGAATTAATAAGCAGCTGCCTGCCATCTCCTATCCGACGTGAAAAACTAGCCGTTGCACTTGAGTCTGACAACTACATAAAGAAACTCATTGAAGTTTTTCACACATGTGAAGATTTAGAAAACATAGACAGTCTTCATCAACTGTATGAAATATTTAAGAATATTTTTCTTCTAAACAAAAATGCACTGTTTGAAGTCATGTTTGCAGATGACACAATTTTTGATGTAGTTGGTGTTCTAGAATATGACCCCTCATCACCTAACCCAAAGCAGCATAGAGAATACTTACGAAACGTTTCAAGGTTTAAAGAAGTCATACCTATCACTAACCCAGAACTGGTGAATAAAATACATCAAACATATCGTGTACAGTATATTCAAGATGCTGTGCTTCCTACTCCATCTGTATTTGAGGAAAACATGCTTTCGACTTTAAGTTCATTCATATTCTTCAACAAAGTTGAAATTGTGTCATTGTTACAGGTGAGAATTTTATTATTTTTGATAGAAATTTGTAGCTTATTGCTTTTAAATCGTATTATATTTTTTGTTTTGAACTTCAGATATGATGGAAACTAATGGAATTTTTTCTACCAATATTTACTGTGCCTTTTTTTTTTCTTAATGATATTTGTACATCTGTAAATTTCTTATTGGGTAGTCATCCTGAAGACTCAGGCTAATCATGTGAAAGTAATGATGCTTTAATAGTCAAAAAATGGAAGTACAGTACAAAAAATGTATAAAACATATTACTTTAGTTTTGGAAATAATGATTAGTGAATTTACTGTAAAATAGCATGATTGCTTTATAATGTTAAATAAGTATTGTGTATTTAATGGTTTAAATTCCCTTGCTTTGTTACTTGCCAATTTGGTGATGAACAAATCTAGTTAACATTTTTAATAGCATGGGCTTGATCCCTGGGACCGACCTCGTAACGATTTTGTGCTTGTTATAGTTTTCATGCAATAACTTTTAAATTGGTAAGCGAATGTTAACGAAATTTGACATATTATCAGTAAACATTACAGTGATTTCATACGTAAAATATTTTTTTTATTAAGTCTTAAGATTTGTAAACTAATGTTTTTCTCTTGCCTTTTTTATTTTCAAATGTTGCCTATCTGTCATGCAAAGTAATATTCATTTTAAGATTAAAATACTTTTAGGCATCAGAAAATTTTGAAATTTCACATGCAAAATCTTTATAATGTCTCCAGATAGTTATCAAATGTAGCTTAAGAAAAAACTATTTTATCTGTTATTTTCAGTAACGAATCTCTGTCCGGGTTTGGTTAATTTGACCAACCTCGTAACCATGTTAAAAAAGTTAGGTAATAAATATAAGTTATGCCTTTTTCCATCTAGAGTGACTACAAATTATAACACAACAGCATAAATGGTTAAACTAAATAGCTTAAATCTTATAACATTATACATTTATATATACTTATTATTTTTATTATATTGACCTTTCAGCCAAGCTTGACTAACAATACAGAAGTTACAAAGACACGGCACTTGTGCACTCATGTTACTGTATCCAATAATATAAGACTGACCTTTAGTCTTTACAAAGTGACCTGTCTTGCTTGTGTTTTAGTATACTTGTATTTTGTAAAATACAGTCACATTTCAATTATTATACACAATATACATTCTTAAACTAATTTTTCTTAAAATATAGGACAGTAACTAAAGAAGTAAAGTAAACAATTATCTCTTCCAGGTACGACCTTTGTACTCAGTTGCTGCTTGACGTAGATTGCTAAGCCTTTTACAATTTTGCACGTGGAGGATATGAAACAAAATAATTTTCTTTAGGTTTTATATATACAGTTGAATAATCAAAAAATCATAAATTACTATATCAATACCATAGAATTCCACTTAAAATTTATCAAGCTCAGTAACTAGAATGTATTTTAGTCTAAAAAAATGAAATTTTGAGCAGACTAAACACACAACCTACCTCATTGAAATCTTGGTTCAATGGAAAAAAAATGGCATCCAAACACGTTAAAATGGCTCAGAAAGCCACTAGGGGACATTATGAGCTTCCAATTGGTTATTCATGTCATATATAGAAATAATTGTATATAAGGGAGCATTTCCAAAAATGGAAAGTGGTGGGCAGGGTGCCACTATGTTTGATTTATTGCATGAGCAATATCTTAGCAAATTGAAAAGAGAAGAGGCTCTTATTTTATATTCTAGTTTGTCAATTTTGGTAATTTGAGTTCCTAAATGGTATGAAACTATAGACTTAGTATTTTGACATCATAAACATCTAATTTGAACCAGTGTTGCATTCAACATACCACGTGACACGCAAAAATAAATGTTTAACTGTGTTTTTTAACATTTACTTTTAAATTAAGAAATTGAGTAAGGTATAATACTAAAATTGAATTATAATCTACAGTTTGATACCAAAGTTATTGACATAAATTCATGAAATAGTAGTTCAATAAAATTTTGAATGTGAGTCAACAAATGCGATGACATGGTCTTTCACCTGACTTGTCTGGAAAGGGTTTGATTTGCTATTTTAAATGAATTGGGAAACCTTGTAAATTTGATTCTTTTATCATTGTTTTACTTTATCATAATTTAAAATTAATAAAAAAATTATTTCATTGTAAGACCAAAAAATTATCTACTTAAATATAAGAGAAAGTGACTTTGTACACAAAATTTGACACTTTTACTGTATAACTGCACAGTAACTAAATTTAACATTTAAAAAGTAACTTTTTAAAAATTAATTTAATCAAAATCTGGTACATCTATCTCATAATTTACATGTATTTCTAAATATTCAATGTGTTGGTTTTTCAACAAAGTGTAATTTGTAAAACATTTTATTTACCATTTTCAAAAAAACATGTATTGAGAGTTGTTTCAATAACTGTATATATAAGGTAAAGGAAAACATTAATTGTGATAGTTGTTACAAGATAACAACTTGCATCTGCACACAGATTAGCTATCTTCTTCAGTTTGCCTGCCAAAGAAACTTGCATGCCACTAGCCTTGAGGCAACCTCCACCTGATTTCATGTGATCCAATAGGAGGGCAACACATCTTCATGCACTTATGAATCTTCATTTTTTTTTCCTTGGCACTATAAAACACAGATGTGTTTAAATTTCATGTCTGTGTTCAGTTTAGTGAGATTTGCTTTGTTAATTAAACTTTGATTTTCGTTTTCTTTAGCTTTTGTTTCAAAAGCCTTTAAATATTTTTATCATGAATTATCAACTGAAAATGATATATACTTAGTCCTGAATATGGGACAATGTTCACATTTAGACCTTATTTCAGCTCTGGCCTTTGGAGGATTATTATTTGTCAAGAGTCAGTGCAGCCATTGTGTGTTTTGGATTAACACATGCTTAATGGGCCTCCTACTCCTGTCTCGTCAGCTGAATTTCTTTCTCCTCAGTTGGTGCTTTGTCTAGCATTTTACCATTCTAGAAACAAACTTAACCTTTCAATATTTTTCTGGATTTCTTTCTAAGATATATTCCTTTCAATTTCTCACTTTCTAACCCATGATTTTTGAGTTTATTTTGTCTTTTCTCCTTGCTTGTTATTAGGTTTTATATTGTTTCCCTTATCTACTAACTCCTTTCTCACACCAAAATGCCTCATTCCTCTCACGTTTGTGATTACTTTTGTCCTGAGTTGTAGACTTTCTTCTTTATTTTCCCG